ACGAGGTAAGTAAATTTACGAGTTCCATTTTTGTTGAAGAAGCAGCTGTCAATGATATCAAAAAGCCTGGATTTTAATTTGTCGTGGGGAATTGTTGTGTATAAAGTTGAAAAGTCGTAAGTTTTTAAGCTGTTGATTTTTGTAAAGTCTTGTGATTTCAAATTGTCCAAAAGTTCTTTAGAATTTTTAAGTATCCACATCTGATTTACACCACTTCTTGAATATATAGTTGCACAGTACTCTTGAAGTTTTTCCTTCACCACTGTCAATATTTTAGTGAGAAGTAACGAAAGAGGCTTGGTTGAACAATTACTGGAACCTGTAATGTACCTTTGTTTGTAAGGATTCTTATGAAGTTTCGGAATCCAATATATATAAGGTAGTTCAAATTCATTTTGGCTCTGTGGAATATTAAAAGTATTCAAAACTGACAGGTGATTTTGAAGAATTTCTTCCTTAGAAAGAGAAGTATGAGTATAGGTAGGATTACCACTTGTAGAATTAAATCCAAGTTCTTCTAGAATGCATTTTATATAATGAGCCTTACAAACGAAGACAATGTTGCTACCTGCTTTGTCGGCAGGTTCCAGTACGTACTGATCGTGTAATCTATCTAATTCTTTTTTCACTTCTGGTTTATTGAACACAGAAGGATAGATAGTTTTCATTTTGCCCCTCAATCTTTTAATACGTGACTTTAACATGGATCTGATACATTAAATCCATTCTGACAAGGTGTCAATGTCTTCTTTTTCATATCTGGCCCATCGTCTGGCGTAATTTTCAACAGAATCCATAATATTTATGAAATTCCGACGCCAGTTGAAGGATCGGGGTTCCCTATATTTAGGACCTTTTAAAATAAGTGATCTAAGGTCCTCATTACGAACTTTTTTTACGTCATCTGTAATAATGTGTCCAGTAGGGCTACAGTAATAGGGCGAAGAAGGACATGAACACGAAGGGGGATTATTTTTCAGATAGTCGATATCCAGTCCATGTAAAGTGTTTTTGTAATTGAAAAGTTTGGAAGCAATGGTCAATGTATATTTGTTGGAAATACAAGGTGTAGTCTTTAACTTAAAATATGGTGGAATACAAGACTGGACCCTTTTGTGATTAAGAATATTACTTATATTAACCGCGTCAATTCCTTTATTGGCATTTGGAAGTTTAAGGAAAAGACGGATTGTTTTAGCTGCATTTTCTTCCGTGAAACGTGTGGGTTTAAAAAGCCTATGATATGCAATATCCATAATCACAGATCCGAGCCTATATTCAGGTGACGAGGAATCTAAAATTGGTTGTTCCTTGGCCTTTTCAAGAAGACTATTTAAAAGTTTCAAAGGGACAGAGTAAAGTTTTGTTCGAATATGATGTAGACCTAACTGTTGATTTACATAAGGTAGTAATGAATCAAAAGAGACGTCGTGTATTGCAGGTTTATTGTACGAACGATGTCCATGACTACGCTTACGTCTCTGAGTATTGTTAAAAAGTCCCATCACATTTACATTATTACACTGCGGGCTTGAAAGATTTCCAATACTATCGACATTGTCATTACATCCATAGGGAAAGGCTGTCCCTAGTTTCCTAATCCAAAATTCTTCTCGTTGTCTACGGAAATGTGTACTCAACGACGGACTATTTGTGTGGTGATAAATCTTTTCGAGAACTCTAACTTTTATTGATAAAATAGAATGATCAGGTGAATTAAAATGTTTATATAAAAGCTGCTGACCACCATGATTTATTTGAAATCGATGACCTGATATTCTTTTGTTAAGCGATCTCTTGGTTTCACCGACATAAATAAGTCCACACATATTACATTCTATTCCATAGACAACATTAGAAGATTTGCAGTTCAGATTTTCCCAAGTTTTGGTATAGAAGCTCTGTCCAGTAAGATTACTGGTGAAAGAAGTGTCAGTTATCAAAATGTCACAGGTTTTACCGTTTCGCACAGAACATTTTGAAACCGAAGAAATTGGATCGGAAAAGGAATTATCCAATATATCTGTAATAGAAACTTTACACTCTTTCAATTTGGTATATGATGTATTGGTTTTATACCAAAACTGGGAATCTGAAGACTGTACATATGACATATGTTTAATATCCCTGAGGATAATCCGAGGGGCACCGAATGAACTCCTTGAGTCTGTGTCCCTTATAGACTCAAAGGAGTGACGCCTTTTTATACTGGGCGACACGCCTGCCAGTATCATTTCGTTATTCTGTGTACTCATGCATGAATAAGTACCGAACGACAAGTATCCTCGGGGACAAACTGTCCACCAGCAGAAATACATGTTCGGTGGTTAAAAGAGGGATATGGAGATAACGAACAGTATTCAATCTCAACGTCCATTAAACAATATACAAAATAAGAGCAGAGCAAACGGATATACATGTAGGGCAAGTCTGTAAATCGTCTATTTAGAAATTGTGGATTTTTTTTCTACATGAATACAAAACATGTGATGATGACTATAAAACATATTAATCATTATAAAACCTCGATCTGTTGATAGATCGGAAGACATAATATCAATAAATACAATTATTTATAATATCATACAAAGAATAAATAATACAATTATAGCCTTTTGATGAGGTCAATCCCTCGATATATAGACCTTAGAGAAAGCATATCGTCCGAGCAAGAAGTGCGAGGTCGATATGCTTTCTCTAAGGTCTATATATCGAGGGATTGTACCGAATCAAAAGGCTACAATTGTTTTATTATTTTTTATTAGTTAATAACAAATGTCTTAAAATCCTTTTTATAATACTCAGTACCTTCTCATACAACACATTGTTTTGTCATTGCATTATGACGTCACAGTAATGAAAACCAGCTGCAGTAGCTGTTTTTAGAAACATCCAGTCTATAAAGACTATTGTGACGTCAGCACTATTGTTGCTTCACAGAAGAACGTTTCCAATTTTAGAAACTTTTAAAAATAGAAACACCCTGTCTGTAACACTTTTTATGCTTGATCAAGTGATTCCGTTTGAGCCAATCAGAAAGTTTGAACAATAAAGAAAAATAATAATATATTTTATAAGAAGATACTATACTTTTAGTGTATACATTCGTGTTTCAAATATAATTTCTTTTGACAAGCAATTAGCATGAAGAATCCTAAGCAAGATTTTACATGACTGGACTGTTGGTTATAAGGATTTATTACTCCTTTTCCTCTACCTGTATTATAATAAAAAATGAAGATATGAAGCTAAATAAAATACGAACATGTCACAAGTGGGTCAATGTGACTTTTCCCAGAAAAGTGGAACTGTCATCAGAAGCTTATACAGTTTAAATCTGCACCGTGTCATTTACGTTAGCACTTTAAAAGTCATAAGCCGATATTTTGTCAAGCATTTGTTGTGAGTTAGCTGTTTATTTCGCACGTTGGCACATGAATGGCACTTATTATTTCGCACATTTGCACATAAATGGCACTTTAAAAATTTGTACATAGGATTTGAAAAGAAAATTACATTGAAAAATACGTTGAACATATTTCATAATTATTATGAATATAAAAAAACCTAGAGGTACTGTGAGCAATGGTCTCACAAAAAGATACCGCCACCTTTTATATCATCATTATGTCTAAGGTCATGTTTTAATATGGAATACCCAAAATAAGTGACAGATCAAAATGTAATATAGGAGGTCACAATGGCACTATAAAATAAAGAATCTATGAAAATATTGAATTAAGGAATCACTGTCAAGTTAGTATAGTATGCCAGTGTCATCAACAATAGTGGGAAACATGGGATAATTTATGCATAACGGGCTAGTGAATCCTTATATTTCCATTTCATTATGAAAAAAAATTGTAGATTTAGACTTTAAAAATGCAGACATAGATTTAAATAACACGAGGATTCCCATCCCAATGTCAATAGTCCTCGCCCACTGACGTCAAACACCTTAATGACACCATGAGAAAACTTTTCCAGAAAAAAAATAATTAATGTGTGATTCATATTACATGTATACTATATGCGTACAAAATATTAGTACTTTGGTTATCTTTATAAGTTTCATTAATCTCTTTTCTACTTGTTATATTCCATATGACTATGTTTCTAAGAATTTATTCCTTTATCAGATAATCTTCACCACAAAATCATTCCAAATAATAAATGATTTTTTTTTAATTTTTAGATGTTTGTGTTTAATTCATTTTTTCTTTTGCAATTTAAATATATATATATATATATATATATAAATATATATATATATATATATATATATATATATATATATATATATATATATATATATAAATAAAATAAAAAGGCAACACTTGTTAAAACGTATGCGCTTTCATTGTTTTCTTCAGACGTTTTAAACAATTTAAAATTTAAACTTGTGACGTAATAACGTTACCTGGTGGTAACGTCAAAAACAATACAATGACGTCACAACACTGAAAGAAGAAACTTTTACATGAGTTAAAAGAAAATAAGCATATTGTTTGTATGCAGGGAGGAGCAGTAGTTATTATGAACACAGAATATTACGAAACAAATGTACTGCAAATGTTAAACAACACGGAATTTTACAGCGAGATTTCCGAGAGCAGTGATAAGAAGACTATGAAGAAAATTAAACGACTACTTAAAAACCATAATACAACATCCTCTTTAACTAAAAAGGAAAAGGATTTCTTAACTGATTTTGATTTCAGCGAAAGTGCTTTTTATGGACTTTCAAAGATTCACAAATCAAAAACAATAAAGGAAGCAATCAGAACTCAAAACGCTGCATACGTTACCTGTCTAGACCCAAATGATCTTACGTTTAGACCTATTGTATGAGGTCCAAAGGCTCCAACACAAAGACTTAGCCACCTAATTGATATACTGCTAAAATCTTTATGCTCAGAAGTAAAGAGTTATGTTCGCGACGATCTAGACTTTTGAGACATTTACCAGACAAGGTTGATCATAATTCAAAACTAATTACTATGGATGTTACAAATCTTTACACGAATATTACCACCTCTCTTGGTCTCAAGGCACTTGAATACTGGATCGATAAATATCCACATAAAATTCATTGCCGTTTTAGCAAACAGTTTATCCTAGAGGCCAGTGATATAGTTTTGAAAAATAATACATTCGCATTTGACGATAAACATTATGAACAACGTAAAGGAACTGCCATGGGGACAAAAATGGCCCCTACTTATGCCACCCTCACCCTAGGATACCTGGAGGAAATCATGTACGAAAAAACAAAACAGCATTTAGATGAACAGACAACAGGAAATATAAAAAGCAATTGGAAAAGATACATGGATGACTGTTTTATCATTTGGAACGACACTGATGCTAACTTAGAAGCTTTCGTAAATATGATGAACGATCTGGATCCAGACATCAAATTTACAATGGACAAAAGTTTTCAGAGCAATCCATTTTTAGATATCCTTACGAAACACGAGGAGCATTTATCGACTATATTTACTACAAACCAACAGATACCCATAAATACCTTCACTTTAGTTCCTGCCATCCAAGCCATACAAAACGCTCAATTCCTTATAACTTAGCAAGACGAATCTGCACTATAGTTAGTGACAAAGAAATAAGAGATAAACGTCTTAGTGAATTAAAGACGTTTCTCCTTCAACAGTATTATCCTATGGGTATCATTGAAGATGGAATCAAAGAGGCAATAAAACTGAACAGAGAATACCTTATAAATCCAACCAGAAGCCAAACTTCAGATTTAAAGATATTACCTTTGGTCACTACTCACAATCCGAGAAACAAGAATATTACTTCAACCGTTCGTCAACTAAACAATGTTCTAAAAACCGATGAGGAAATGGCCGAAGTTTTAGAAATGTATAAGTTTATCAACAGCAAACGACAACCAAGGAATCTACGAAGGATATTATGCAAATCCTCATTCCATCAGCAACATTTATATTCAGTGAAGAAGTGTTCCGATCTCCGTTGTGGAACCTGCAATTACATGAAAACTGGAAATACCTTTAATTTCGGGAATAAAGACTTTACCGTAAAGGCAGACATGACATGCGAGTCAAAAAACGTTATTTATTGTATTACATGTGCAGGATGTGGACAATTCTATATTGGGGAAACTGGAACCACACTACGTACACGTATCCGCATACACAGACAGCACATTAACCAACCTGAATACCGTAAAATAAATGTAAGCGGACATCTTTGATATTTGTGGCCGGGGACAATTTTCAGTTTTTCCATTTTACCAACTTTATACAGACAATGTGGTGCAAAGACGAGAAAGGAGAAATACTTTATAAAACTGTTAAAACCATCACTAAATAGTTCACTTTAGACATTTTTATATTTTTGTAAAACACTGACATTTGCATACAAACAATATGCTTATTTTCTTTTAACTCATGTAAAAGTTTCTTCTTTCAGTATTGTGACGTCATTGTATTGTTCTTGACGTTACCACCAGGTAACGTTATTACGTCACAAGTTTAAATTTTAAATTGTTTAAAACGTCTGAAGAAAACAATGAAAGCGCTTACGTTTTAACAAGTGTTGCCTTTTTATTTTATTTTAATATTGATTACCGGACACTGAGATATTTATTTTATTTCTTTTGGATATAATTATATATATATATATATATATATATATATATATATATATATATATATATATATATATATATATATATATATATATATATATATATATATATATATATACGATATATACGATGTATACGTTTTTGTTTCTGGCAATCTTACATGCACGTCTGCCAAAAGTTATTCCGACAATTTACAATCAACTACATGCATACAGTGTTTTACTTATTTTTCAAAACCGAAAAACGTCAAAAATGACCCCTAAAAAGTTAAAACTTTATGATAAAGCTGCTTAAGGGGCATTGTACATCTCATCTTCTTTTGTTCACGTTTACTGTCTTCATGTTCCTTGCAGATTTTTTCATACAGGCAATTAAAACATTTATAGCTGGGAATTAAGTCAAATTAATACACAGAAATTAAAAATAAAAACATCATCACTCTTAAATGAAATAAATAACTTTAAGATAAAACTTTCCATCTTCATAATCAGAGAGCTATTCTTTAAATAAATGGTTATGCCTTCTTTTCTCTTTTATTATTTACTAAATAACATTATTTAAGGAACCTCTAAACACTAACAAACTTATTTTTGAACTTGGAGAAAAATATATTATATAAAGGTTATGAAAATTCAGTCTTTTTCATTCATTTGTAATATGGGATACTTGCCGTATATCTGCAGCAAGAATGTCCAAAGGCAATGAACTATTTGTAAGCAGAAATCACTGCTTTTTACTTATATTGGGAAAAATTAATGTAAATCATGAATTCAGTTACTTATTCTTGATCTTATAAAACTAAAATATTTTAATCTATAACAGATCATGTAATTAACTGAAAATAACATTTTTAAAAATCTTACTTCTAAGGGCAGATCACTCTAACAGCATAAAACTACCCTATCAGTAAAATTCTTTAGTGTGCAGTGTTTAGAGCTTCCTGTTTCTTTTTTTAATATTCTATATGGATACCTGATATGTGGTGACCTTTTTTTGACGCAAATGGAAATAGAAAGTAAAGTATCTAAATCATTTTTAATAAATAAGTTCATGACAATACAATTTAATTCAATACATGGTATAATCGAGAATATCAAACAGAATTAGACAACTTATGTAATATAAACAAAATATGGAGTGCTACCCATCCTGATATCTGCGCAATAATGTCACGCATGATACAACAAATTACAATAAACAGAATGGATACTTCAAATCTATATTAAAGAGTGACAAAGATTGGGCGCGGCATGATCAATTTTTAATTAACGAGTAATGAGATATAAGTTGTGAGAAAAAAGTAAAGCATAACTGAAATTTTTAGATTATCATTTTACATAATTTCCTTATTGTAAAAAGATATCGGAAGGAAATGGCTTTTTAGTACGGCTATTCATATATACACTCAAATGCATGTAGAAAATACTATAATTCAAGACCCGAATATATATGGACCACTATGAAGCGGCATCAGCCGTGTTATGTATTGGCTTTACTGTTTTATTTTGTTCACCTGATAAGCTGTCTCGCACTGATATCCTTGATTTTACTGAATTAATTATATATGCATAGAAAGAATAATCATCAAACTAATCATTATTGATAAATCTTTTTGTGATAAGTAAGGCCTTTTATGAATTATAGCTAATCTTATTTATAAATTACATTTTCCTCTTCCATTTAAATATTTTTCTTGAAATAAATATACGAGTATGTATTTCTGAGTAAATATGTGATACCAGTTACTCAAAGTAAAAATGTAACGTCCTGTCTCTCTAGAGTTTGTGTAGTGAGTATTCTGTTCTACTCTTTCATCTGAATCATTTACGTAACATATATGCTCAGTATAATTTAGATTTTCTTTGCATATATCTGGGCCACAAAACTACACAAACATTGTTCATATGCCTCACTAAAACATTGCAAATTGTCATAACACCGCAAAAAATCGAAAAAATGGGAATATTTTGAGTTAAATTTATATAGCTGTGGATTCACGATGACTTTGCTATAGCAGTAAATTCGTAAAATCTTTGTTCGTACTAAACAAGTTTTGCTGTAGCATCATCTTATGAATTCATTTTTTCAAAAAAAATATAGACACCAAGAGTAAGAGTTAAAATTTGATATTACCTTAATTCTCTTTGATAAGTGATCCTTTAAGATTTGTGTAACCATCAATAAAGAAAGGTGTATTCTAATATTTGTTCTCTGGTGTTACAGCCTATGAAGTAGGTACATATGGTGCAAACTGTTCAGGTGGACGTTGTCCCTATTGATTGTATGGATTTGGGTGTCTGAGTAAATGTGACAGTACCACTGACCAATACTGTAACAGGGGAACAGGATGCAAAAACAATGCAACACACGGATTCTGTAAGACAGTGCATGAGTGTTTGTATCTCATAGATTTCATTATGATAGGTTTTAGAGGTTGACACATTCACACATTTTTTTTTCTCGCTGCGCTACCCTTCACCACACAGATATTGAAAATGAAAGTGAGATTTGGACATGAGTTTTATCAGAAAATCATTATTGATACACAATGTAATGAAATTATTTATAAAGTAGATTGAAAAATGATGAAGTCTATCACGTTTAATATAAATTTTACTATCGTATACTTTAAGTATTTTTGGTTAGGTATGTCAATGCTTTTTTACATTATGTTCCGGAGGTTAGAGGAGGTAGGAGTCAGCCAAGAAGTGCCACTAGCATTTTACATAGTTTTTAGATGGTCGTTATGAGAAAAAAATCTTTTAAGACTTTTAAAGTTTATTGATATTAAAAATAAAAATAAAATTATTTCTAACATCATCGAATTTTTTTTTCAAAAAAAAAAAAAATCAGTCAAAAAATTCTGTAACTGAATATATTTTTTATAATATTTTCCAAGTTTGATATCTTTTACAAACATTTCTATTTATTTATTTATTGTGAAAGTCAAATATACTATTAACATAACAACTCATGGGATTAATTAAAAACACGATTTTTAAAGTATGTTAATGAATTTCATATCTTATAATGTTTGCCAAAATTGTCATATCCCTAGCTAAAAATTACTATAGTTATCTATGGTTAACTAAAGTCATCTTAAGTAAACCAAAGTTTTAATACAATAAATTAAAGTATTTATACTTTGAATTCTAGATCGAGATATTTTTTTTAATTTGAAGAAGTAATTTTTACATACTAATAAGAAATATTTCTCGTATATTTACATAGTTTATAAAAAATTACATCATCGGTATAATTTAAGACATATGTAGTCTCTTATTCTTCAAAAAAGTTCTAAAATAAAGTTCCATAGTAATGAAAATATCAAGTTTCAAGCATGGAGACGTCACCACTTGTCGGGTGAGAGCTACAAATTTTAGACTGATAGTATGCACTACCTGTTGAACAAAAGAGGATCTTTTCGTGCAAATACTTAATGCGACTCACGGTACCTCGGTTTTTACGACCTCCTGATTTAATTTTAGGAAAATTGCCTCAATAATATAAAAAGATAATTATGTTTTTTAACAGCTGAAACGGATGATACATGTACTAATCCCTTTGTGGAAAAAATGTTATTTGTAATTCTTGGCATTTCCCTGGGTGTAGGATTCACCTTGACAATTATCTTCAGCTGTAAAAGGTATTTTACGTTCACCCTTTTACTTCTTTGTTTAATTAATGATACAAGAACCTTATTTCTTAAGGAACACATATGAATTTTTTTAAGTATGTGGATATCAGTCAACATTTTCTTAAACGTTATTCTTGCCGAGCGATCAGAATTATGCATATGTAATGCACATATGGAATGTATATGTTCAATGGATATTATTGTATTATTCAACTTTAAACTCGAGGTTTTTCATTAATTTTTTTTTTTCAGAATGAAACTAGGAGACAGTCAGGGTACATCGATACGATGTTTCTACAACATGGGTATGATTATCCGTTACAAAAAAGTGGAGCAGAATTAGATGTCACATATGAAGGTAAAGGCACTGTTTCAAACATCGAAGAAACCAGAAAAAGTCCAGAATTCCAGAAGCAGGAAAACGAATATTTGGAAATAGTATAAAAAAATATTAAGATACTACTTTTTAAGGATTTCCATCCCTAATAGGACCAAATTCCCTACCCTTAAATAGCCGTCAAGCTCAAAATGCTCTGATATTTTATTAAGGCATTTTAAAGTGGAAAAGGTTTGCCCTCGAGAAATTTTCAAAATTGTCGTTAATTAAGCAGTAGCTAATTAACAAAGATTGCATTGAAGTCTATTTGGAAAAGCGTTTTTTCAAAATAAAATTTCAAATAATTTGAATATCGATAAATCCTGCGGTGGAAAGATGCATTGAAACATTAAACATAGAATGACAATTGAAAACAATTTCTTTACCGGATAAAGTTTTTTAATTGATTTTTTTATTAATTAAAAAAGAGGAGATAACTCTTATCAAAATTCAAGGGCATGAATTAGGACACATCTCACTGTACATATTAATAGCAATAAATGGGAAGTATGGCTAAATAAACTGAGTATTCAATGCCCACACATCTGTTATGTTTTCAATTTCACTGAATTTGTTCCTATTAGGGGTTGTATACCCTAAAGTCTCTTTTATTTCTTGTGTGTAATCCTTATTTTAAATCATTGATAGATAATGACAAAATACATACTTTTAATCGATCCCATGAGAGCATAGAAATTCATGATAATGCTGTAAATATTTGTAAACATTTTTATCATTGTCATATCTTTGTCAAAAAAATTTCGAATTGGTTCATTTTATAATAAAAATGACTTATATCTGTCCCTACTTTATTTTAATATGTAGATAATGAACAGAGGACAATGCATAAGAAATATATTTATGTTGGATTCTAATTACAATTTGTTAAGCGAGATGTTTTTTTTCTACTTAATATATTTCTTTCATATCTTATAAGCAATAAACATCTTAACTAATTTTATGTGCTCTTAAATACTGAAACTGATGAACAATTCGGTTCCTGTGAATCTGAAGCACATTTGCAGCTCTGTTCTGCAGCATGTTAAATAATAAAGAGGGTGTGTGTGTGTATAGAGCATTTATTACAAATGCCAAATGAGATTACAGATTTTACAATATCAGAATGCAGCAGAAGGTGGGGCCCAAAAACATCCCACACCTTATACAAAAGAAAACTAGTACATATATTTTCTACAAAATTAACAATAAGTACCTTAAACAAAAGAAACTAGTACATCTATTTTCTACAATAACAAAAGTCATGCAATAACAATAGGCACCTTATATAAAAGAAACTAGTACATGTATTTTCTACAATAACAATAATTATGGAGGATTGAAGGGGTGGTGGTGGGTAAAATTTGTAAACCACATTTAGGAGCCGAAATGTTATTCTGATAAGGATAAGGCTAATAGCCGTTACTAGAGGACGCTTAAGTATAAAACCCGGAAAACCCTTCGGGACCTATGAATTCAAACAAATTGGTAATTAATAAAAATATGCAATTTATTACGTATTTAGATCACATAAATTCCTTTATATACATAAATACACTTATGTGCTCTTAAATACTGAAACTGATGAACAATTCGGTTCATGTGAACCTGAAGCACATTTGCAGCTCTGTTCTGCAGCATGTTAAATAATAAAGAGGGTGTGTGTGTGTATAGAGCATTTATTACAAATGCCAAATGAGATTACAGATTTTACAATATCAGAATGCAGCAGAAGGTGGGGCCCAAAAACATCCCACAAGAGGGACAATGAACGTACAGAGAAGGGTCCCTCGCCCCACCCAAAAATGTGCTTCAATTACTTAATGTATACAGCTTGATAACGATGTAAATACTAACAAAACTATTCACAACATAGGTCATGGAATTCTAAGGATGGATAATAAAAATATTAACTAAAATAAAATAAATACATAATCGAAAGTCATTAACGTACCAACCAGGAATAGAATTATTGCATATCTTGACAAAAACATTTAAATAATTCAAAATGATATGAAATATTAATACAATCCTCGATATGATACTCAACAACGAATATATTCAGTGCCGCCTCAGACAGTCACCGAATACTTCATGTACCTGTATGCAAGTGTATATTAGTATAAAGTGAAAGGCAGATAAATTCATACACAACTCGAGAAAGTCATTAACGTACGTACCAGGAATAGAATACTAGTAGTTGCATATCTTGACAAAAGCATTTAAATAATTCAAAATGATATGAAATATTAATACAATTCTCGATATGATACTCAACAACGAATGTATTCAGTGCCGCCTCAGACAGTCACCGAATACTTTGTGTACCTGTATGTAAGTGTAGTATAAAGTGAAGGTAGATAAACTATGTAATGTTAAGCTTTCTCATGCATTATTATGATATTTAAAGCATGAAATTGACGCTTTTATGAGGTTATAGTATTAACAATTAAATTTAAAAAAAAAAAGATGCAGAAAAATAGAGGATACCGCCTCAGACAGAATCCTCTATCTAGGTATTTAATACATTCAAATAATACAGAATAAGGGATACTTTCTCAACCATTTATCCTTTACAATCGGACTTTCTACCACCCTAAATGAAAACATATATGTACTAATAGGCGGGAAAATAGGAACCTTAATGTTCTCTGGAATGACACCAGTTGCAACCATCCCATATCTCATTTTGTGAGTCTTAAAAACACTAAAAAATGTGCCAGGGTGTTGCTGTAGCAAAAAGGGGTCCTTTGCAGCTAATTTCACCTACTGCAATTGGGTTGGGATTTTATTTCTAGATAGACTTTTATTTTACCTAAATTGTATTGAAAGTTGATTCATTGTAAGACTCCTTTAAACTCCCTTGTTGTCGTGCCTGAAAAGGTATATTTCCTCAAAGCAGCAAATATGGGTTTGAGTCTGAATGAACCGCGATTTCCCTTCCTCTCAGCAAAGATAAATTACAAAAAGGAACATAACCCTGTAGCAACATGTCCGTTACTAAGAATTGGCTATCTATGGTATTGTCACTTATTTTTTTTTTTATTTCGAATATTAAAAGTAATATCTGCACGCATCAACTGACCTATAAAACTTTTTTTCTCCAATTAACATTTTACTGATTAACAAACGATTCAAGAAATCGGGGGTGTTTCGCATTTAAAAATAGTATATCCATGCTGCCAAGTGATATAGAGCTAGCTGATTTTCCTAAACTGAATAGGTACAGGTAAGACATAAGACATATAAACCTGTCCCAAGGAGACCACTTTAATGCACTTGGTCTATTGATAACCCTGAATGAAACCCTTAAAACAATTTAGAGCATGCCCGTACACTTACTTTGCAATAAGAGCTAAAGCGGAATCTAAAAGGAAATACGGGCTGTGTTTGGAGAGTTGAAAAATATAGATTTGTAATCTTAAATATCCACAAGCCTCTTTACCCAAAATATTGTAAAGAACCAACAATAATCTTCTTTAAAAAAATGAATTTCTGGTGTTTGTTAAGTTTACAATATGCAATAAACAGCTGTACTATCAGATTGGAATATGACAAATGAATTCTTTAAATAAGTCCCATAATTCAACAGCCAAAACAATTGGGAATAATTCATGAGGGTAATATTGCCTTCTTTTTTTTTTTTTTTGCAAGATCCATATAATTTTCTATATTCTTTTTTTTTATCATTATTATTTTTAACAAACAATAACCATTACCCAAGAATCAGCTGTGGAGATGCATGTGTTTTGATGTAACCTTTATACATGGTATATGTTCAAATAACCACCGTATTAAGATACAAACTGTTTGTTTAAATTTCTTTGCAAATGTAGCTTTATTTTTCTCCAATTTCTCAGGTAGCAACATATTGGACTTTCCATTACCACTTGTCAAATTCAATTTAAGAAATACTAGCTCTGTAGATGCCCATGAAGTCTTTTTATCCAACACAAGTAATTCAGAGAAAATGTCCATTGACTTTACCAATCCATTATAAGACCAAAGAAAGATCTTCAAAAGTTAGCAAAAGAACTGGACAACCCAAGTGAAAACCTTATCATATAATACGAGACTTTCCCAGTGAAAGCCCAGTAGTTCATGATCCTCTTTGTGACTGGGTATACACACCAAGCTGAGATACTCAGATGGTATAAAAGATCTTGCACCCTGATGTTGTAAATCAAATCCATGCTTAATTCTGAAACCTAATGTCATTAATAATGACATAATTGCTTAGGGATAAATATTTAAGGACATTTAGGATAATAGGGGTTAAAAAAAAAAAAAAAAAAAACATAACTACATTACTTAAGGAATAATGTCAATTATCTGGGCTTTGCAAATTGTTCCCACACTCTAAACAAATGCATTGGAATTTGCAGTTTTCAAGCTTGCATAGCCCTTCCCTATTATATGGCTAGCAAATTTCTATGGAGATTTGCTTCTCTCTTTTTTTGAAAGCCTTAGTCTAAACCTTGATCAGAAGGGGGAGATGGAAAGACCTGTAGTTTCCTCTCTATATCCCTGTGTTTAAATGCCTGAAGCACAAATTACACACTAACCATTTCCGAAGACATACCCTTAAACTTGTCTATATATCCTAATTTGTTTATCAACAGTTTGTCAAGGTTTACTTCTATATGATGCCAAATCATGACTTGTCTCTGCATGATTTACACAAAACTGTGTTTCATTTGGGAATTTTCTAGTATAGACAGAAATCAAATGCATAGATTGCTGTTTTCCACTGAAATATAGTATTGATTGTTTGATCTGTATTTCTGGGTGCTACTGAAATGTTAGAGTTAAAATCAATGTGTACCCATTATTTTGGTGGTAGGCACAAGACTGACAAAAGGTGGTGCTCCAAGGTCAATATATTGCTCTTCCTAAGTCTTTTGTTAAAGCATTTATGGAATCAGTGCTAAAATGAAAATTGATCCCTGAAGAAGAAATATTAAATGGTACCAGTTTTAGTCCCAGGTTTTTGTTTGTTTGTTTGCTTGTTTTTTTTTTTTTTTTTTTTTTTTTTTTTTAATAAACCGTGCCAATTTCTTTGTGTTAAATCATAAACAAGTCCACCGTAATGAAATTTACCATTGAAAATGCAATGTTGGTTAATGATTAGAAGCTTTAACCAAAATATATGCTACAAGCTCTCGATTCATTCAATATAGTTATTATCATTGTGTATATATATATATATATATAGGTCTGCAAATTATTGTACTCGTACACAAGCAATATATCTGCCTAACCTGACAGGGCTAAGCTAGCTATGTATATCAAACCATACAGGATATGTCAAATAAATTGCCTAAACATACATGACAAAACTAGGCTATCCCAACCTATAAGATATAGTTATAAGCATATCCAACCATAAGGGATATGTCAAACAAATTGTCTAACTACCACAAGACAAACCTGGTTATCCAAATAAGGCAAACATACACCTGAGGATATGTAGAACATAAGCATGTCCAACCAAGCAGGACATGTCAAGCAGAGTGTCAAACCATACAGGACAAATCTGGTTATCTTACAATACACGATAAAGATATTTGTAAGCATATTTATAATCATACTACATATGTCAAATAAAGTGTTCAACCATACTGAACAACTTCTTTATCCAACCATTCATGATCAATAAATATTAAATAAATATTAACATAACCAACCCTACAGGATATGTCAAATAATTGTCCAACCATACAGGATTAATCCTTGATATATAATTATATATACATGCATTCTCTATACAAGCATATCCAAACATACAGGATATGTCAAATAAATTATCCAACCATACAGGATAAACTCAGTTACCAAAGCATAAAGGATACAAAAATTCTGTATCTAAACCTATTCATCCATATAGGTTATGCCAAATAAATTGTCCAACCATGTAAAACAAAACTTGGTTACCCAATCACACGATTAACATAGAAATACCCTTATATGAGCATATTCAACCATATAGGATATCTCAAATTAACTGTCCAACTATACAGGACAAACAGGTTACCAAACTGTACCAGATATGTATATGTATATATATTTACCATATACAAGCATGTCCAACCATATAGGATATGGCAAATAATTGTCCAACCATATAGAACAAATTGGTAACCAAACCATACAGGATATATATTGAAGTACAAGCATATCCAACCATATAGGATAGCTAAAAATAATTGTCCAACCATATAGGACATCTTGGTTACCAAACCATACAGGATATATATATACTGTATACACGTATATCCAACCATACAGGATATGTCAAATTAATTACAACCAAACAGGATATAAATATACTGCGTCCAACCATATAGGACAATATGGTAACCAAACCATTCAATATATATACACTGTATACAAGCATATCCAACCATATAGGATAGCTATAATTTATTGTCCAACCATATAGGACAAGTTGGT